GTGGAATTCAGGTGTGGCTTGTAATTATATAGTTATAAGCATGAAAAGATTGGTAATAAATTTGTAAAAGTGTTTTATTTTATTTTCAAATTCTACATTATTTCAAATGTCAAGTAAAGCATTAAATTTAGTTAGTAAAATAACAAAAGTCAATAGACTAAAATATAAAATAAACGCAAAGTACAGGTTCTAACGAAGCTTATATGTTTTATGATGTTGCATGCATGATGCCTGTGTTGTTCAGTAAATATTGATTTTTTTATATTCTAAAAGTTACATGATTTTTTTGCAATTGTCATTTATTTATAGTTTTAATTAGGGGGCTCAGTATGGTTGTTAAGGATAAAGGTGTCTCCTCCTTTGTCTGGGTGCACTTGACTGAGAGAGCTTTTTGCAAGTTTCACTAACACCCATTAGTGAAGTTTGCAAAGCTCCTTCTGAAAAAAAATGCTGACATGAATACTTCAACGCTCTTTTTCCCTAAATAGTAATGTAATAATAAAGTTTGAGTTAACGTCTTTGACAAGATAAGAGGGCGGATCCGGAAGGGTGGTGGTCCAGGGGATTCAGACTTATGAAAGTCTTAAAATCAATGGAATTTGTCAAAAAAAAATTAAATAGAAAATTAATTGTAAAACTGGCTACAGAATGTTACGTTTTAAAGCAAAAGTAGTGTAAATGGGGTGCGAGGTTAGTGTGGGGGTTTTGAAAGCCGCCTAAGTGTCTATGTGGCGAATACGCCCCCCCCCCCTTCATAAAATCCTAGATCAGCCTGATGTGAGTGGCTACTGACTTTTAATGGAATTAGGCTATGAGAATTCAAACATAAATAATGAAACTTTTTGTTTTTCTTTTTAATTCACAAAATAATGTGAGAACCTGCATGCATGGGGTTGTTTTAACCCCCAACTCTACACTCCCATGCTGAAAAACTGGATCAACTGGCCATATCGGCTAAAAATAATGCTGAAATCATTTTTCTTACACAAAATTTTGGTTTCCTAATGCTTTTAAACATTAATACGAAAAAAGAACAAGAAGTCTGTGAGCCAATGCTCGCTAATAATACCCCCGCTCTGACGCAAATACACAAGTTCATTTATGAACAGACACAGGGATAAACAGGAAGTTGATATCAGATTTGTACAAAAATAAATTCCCCCATATAACATGCCTAAACAAAGAGTGTGCTAAACTATCAAGCATCTGCGATAAGTAGATGCTGAGAAAACTGTGACCAAAGGGGGAGTTTCGATAAGGCCGTTTTTCGGCCCCTCACGAAATTTTATGAAATTTTGATATTTTGTAGAAAAACTCCTTATCTTCCTAAAAATATGACAATAATTTATGTTACGCATTTTCCGGTCACGTGATAATTGAACATTCGAGTATACCGCCTGTCGTATATTTTTGGAGTAGACATTTTTATAGGGGGAAAGTGGATTTGTTTAACCGTCAAAATCGTAAATGAAATAGGATTAATATGAATAAAGACAAAAATTAACCGATTTCAACATTTTTTTTATACGGAAAATGGTAATTCTCTTATGCGAATGTTTTTTAAGGTGCGATATTTTTCTGATGTGTTAAATGTTACTTTTCTTTAAAGGAGGATGAATTTAACATACAAAACGTAAACATATATAGAAAGTTTTAACATCATAATTAATCGACAGTTTATACATAAACTTTATAATCAATATTTAACATTTTCCCATTCGAAAAATGCAAATAAAAGATATGTAGACATGAGATAGGTAAATGTAAAAACGTCATATACATGTATATGCAATACATTTTCATCAATGAGGTTATACAACTACATGTTTTATGAAAATATACCTTAATATCATAAAATTGAAATTAAATAAAATCTTTTGAAATAAAAAGATTAAACAATGAATGCAACTTTAAATACATACACAAATAAATTTTAGTTTATTTAAAAGCATCATATTGCTACGTAAGCTGGTACATTGTAGGTGAAAGGTAAGAAAATATTTTATCTGGCGGCTGCCACATAATTATATGGCAGCCGCTAGAAAAATATATCTGGCGGCTGCCAAATAGTTTTCTTGCGGCCACAACATAAATAACTGGCGGCGACCAGAAACTTATCTGGCGACCGCCACATAAATAACTAGAAGCCGACAAATAAGTTTCTTGTGGTGTAGACATGTAATCTAATAAAAAAATAAATTTAAAGTTATGAGGTGAAGACCTTATGAAGTGAATTTTTGTATAAAGTGTAGATTTGATCTTTGCTAATAAGGCTTAAACTCCCAGATTTGACTAAGTTGTTGATGTCGTTAAAGGCAGAGATTTTAAGCACCACCTTCAAAAATACTTGGTCTGTGTACCTCTGTCAATCAAGAGCATTAAGGTATATCACTGGGTGCTACAACTTGATTGGCAAAAACATTACAATTTTATCTGGTGGTCGCTAGATATTTCAATGGCAGGCGCTAGAAACTTATCTGGCGACCGTCAGATAATACATTTTTTTACCTAGCACCTACTGGCTTCAGTATATTGCAATGTATTTGATAATTATGAAATGATTAAATAATGATTATGAAACTTAGAAGTATTTGCTCACATAGATCAGCATTATATGTTTTCAGCATAACTGAGAGAATCCCAGCCAGGACTAATTTCCTCTCGCTTCCAAACTCTCCATAGATACTTAAGTTGCTTCACATTGATTTCTATTTACAAGGAAATACATATTTGTTCAGTCAGTCGTAAAATGTAAGAAAGATCCAGCATCTGAACCATGCTTGGTGGTGAGCAATCCTAGATGCATCGTCAGTGCAAGTTTGGTCACGATAAGGCTTATAGTTATGTAAGACCGATACCCGCTTCAAAATCTTTAACCTGCTCACTCATTAAGGAAATGTAGGTCATATCCAGCATCTGAAGCAATCTAGTACTGTGCATCCGAAGATGCATTATGAAGCAAGTCTGGTCAACAAGTGCTTACAGATGCTCTCTCCGAAAATTTAAACCTGCTTTTAAAACATTTACCTGGACATTCTTTGGCTGAAAATCCAGCATCTGAAACCTGACTGGTGACAAGGAAACATGCTGGATCAGGTGACTCTGATTAATATCTATTAGGGCATACATATATTTGAAAAAAAAAAATCTTCTTCAAAAACTTTAACCTGGAACACGGATGCCGACGGAATTACAAATTAAAGTTCCCCCAACTTCGAGGAGGTGAGCTAAAAATGTGACGTTAACGTTATACGTTGGCGACAAAAGAGTATCGAAATGAAGATAGGATACGATAATGTTTTCTACTGTTAAAATAATCGAGAATCTTCTTTGATTTAAACAAATATGCTACTTCTGGCTTGGTATTTTAATACAGAGTCAGATCAAGAAACCAGGAGGTTCTAATTTTAGATATGCAAATTTTATGTAATTTTCAATTTTTGGATATGAAGTGCACACGCGACACTCATCATATTTCAAGAAATTAGTGTGCAGAGTATATCTAATTACTGAACAAATTTAGGTGAGTGTCCCTCATGCACTTCATATTCTAAACATCGATTTATAAATGCCACCCTCTTACATTTTCCCATAAGCCTAATGTTAACGGATTTGAGGGTACATCTAAGTATGTATCAGCTACGGTGTGAATTCATCTCATATTAACTTTTGAAATAAAAATAACAAAAGTTAACATATTTATCTTGAATTCTAAACTAGTTTCGAAAAAAGAAATTGAAATTTATTTTTATGAAAAAAAGTGGGCCGCTGACAGCCTTATCGAAACTCCCCCTTTGTTATGTATGGTACGGTCAGACGCACACAACAGGAAGTTGACATCGTATTCTCACAAAAATGTATCCCACCATATGACATGCCTAAACAAAGAGTGTGCTAAACTTTCAAACATCTGGGATAAGGAGATGCTGAGAAAACTGCGACCAAAATTTTTAATGTATGGTACGGACAGACGCATGGATAAACAGGAAAGTTGACATCGGATTCATAAAAAAATGAATCCCACCATATGGCATGCCTAAACAAAGAGTGTGCTAAAATTTCAAGCATCTGCAATGAGTAATTCCTGAGAAAACTGCAACCAAAATTTGTTATGTATGGTACGGACAGATGCACGGATTAACAGGAAGTTGACATCTGATTCACACAAAAATGAATCCCACCATATGCAATGCCTAAACAAAGAGTGTGCTAAAATTTCAATCATCTGTGATGAGTAGGTGCTGAAAAAACTGCAACCAAAATTTGTTACGGACAGACACATGGACACACAGACAGACACACAAGGGTAAAACAGTATACCCCCCTCTCCTCTGGAGCAGGGGTATAAAAATTTACTGGCTGACTCTCTAAGCTTTTTTTTAAAAGCTAAAGGACAAGATAGGCTAAGACCCCTTTTTGGCCCCTGGTTTTGAGTGTCTTTTAGAATGCTGCAACAGTTTATCAATAAAAACCTGTTGTCTACCCTGCCACAAAAAGAGTATTGGTTCTAAGTTATGGGATACACAGAGGTCATGGGAAGGTCAGAAAATATGTCAATTTCCGAATCTTCTCATTTTTATGCAAATTTTCATCCATTTTACAGCACATTTTGTTTCACAAGACATAGAGCACAAGCTTGCCTATCTTCCAAATTTATATATTTCATACATTAGTATCAGATGGATCTTATGTATAAAAATCTCAGATAGGCAAGCTTGTGCTCTATGTTTCCCGAAGTGAAAATTATCTCAAATTTGACAAAATTTTACTAGAATTGAGGAAATTTGGGAAAATGTCCTACTTCTGCACCCTCTTGTGACCTCCGTGTAAGCTTTGAATCAAAATTAGTTCTGGTTTTAAAACAAGCATCATTTTAAGTTCTTAACTACAAACAATTACAATTTTAACTGTGTTCTGATTTTTACATCAAATAAGGGGCCAAATTCGGCCGTTACCATACCTTGTCCTTTGTAATGAGTGATAAAAATATTGGAGCATACCAGAATTAGTCAGTTGAGCTCGTAGTTTTCTGATTTCTTTCATGGCCTTGTATCTGATACCTTGTTTTTCACAAAACTCCAGAGTGGCTCCTTGGTATTCACATGCTCCCACAGCCTTTAGCAATACCATCAGATCTCCAAGTAGGAAAGAGTGATCCTATTTATTTAAAATTTTATTCCTTCTATAAAGTACATTGAATTTTTCCATATGAGTAGCACCAATTAGTGTGTCTAAAGGTGCACTGAATAAAACATTTCCTAATGAGAATACAGATTTCTTCATCATTTAAAGCTGCGTTTTTGCAAATTTTATTTTGCAGTTAAAATTTGCTTTTATGATAAATCTGTAAGTAACTTAAGCCTTTATGATCAATTAGATAAAAATAAAGTATTAAAATGTTTCAGAAGAAAGATTTCTGTACAATGGAATGTATAGTATTATATAAGAAATCAATATTGTACAGGTCGACAATAATGTAATTTTGCTTCAATCAAAGCTTATAAATAGATTTACCATTGCAAGTATGAACATAAGAAATTTATATCTGTTATTTTTTCTGTCATTGCAATAGTTAAGTACAATTTTGCAACAAAAATTTCCGACATCAAAGTTGCAGCTCATATTGCTTTCACCGTTTTACTCAGACTCCTTAGTTCAAAAGGAGCATATCTCCCAGAAAAATGAGGAATGCACGTAGCTTCATTAAAGATGTAATTAAATCTAAGACTGTTCAGCTTTTTATTTACAGTAATTACTATTAATTACTGTAAACCAACTTTTATTCGCATGTGAGAAATATTTGCCACTTTTGCAATCTATTTTAACTCGCGAATATTAATCACCACGAACTATTTATTTTGCTTTGTATTTGTATAGAATGTTTCCTCAGTCACAAAAATTACTGACGAATTGCAAATAAAAGTTAACCCGAATAATAGTTGGTTTACAGTAACATAAGAGCTTTATTTATGATTAATTAACTTGATTAATATAAAATACATGGCTACTGTCTTGAAATATAAGCGATATTTGGGGGAGGGTAAGAAAACGTGATGGAGGGCGAGGCTTGCCGAGCCCTCCTTCACGTTTTCAACCCGAGCTTCCACATAAGTTGCTTTTCACATGCTTCCACATAAGTTTCAGCTTTTCTGGCCCAGTGGTTCTTGAGATGAAGATTTTTGAAGATTTTCACTACATACTTCAATGTAAAACTTGGATTCACTATTGTGGCCCTGCCCTACCCCCTGGGGTAATGATTTGAAAAATTTAGAATCTGAACTACCCCAGGATGCTTCCACATAAGTTTCAGCCGTTCTGGCCATGTGGTTCTTGAGAAGATTTTTTTCTGCATATTTCAACGTAAAACTTGGATTCCCTATTGTGGTCCCGCCCTACCCCCGGGGGTCATGATTTGAACAATTTAGATTCTACACTACCCCAGGATGCTTCTGCATAAGTTTCAGCTTTTCTGGCCCACTGGTTCTTGAGAAGAAGATTTTTGAAAAAAAAATTTCTGCATATTTCAATGCAAAACTCGGATTCCCTATTGTGGTCCCGCCCTACCCCCGGGGGTTATTATTTGAACAATTTAGATTCTACACCACCCCAGGATGCTTCCGCATAAGTTTCAGCTTTTCTGGCCTACTGGTTCTTGAGAAGAAGATTTTTAAAGATTTTTTCCGCATATTTCAATGTAAAACTTGGATTCCCTACTGAGGCCCCGCCCTATCCCGGGGGGTTATGATTTGAACAGTTTAGAATCTACAATACACCAGGATGCTACAACATAAGTTTCAGCCTTTCTGGTTGTGTGGTTTTTGAGAAGAAGATTTTTTTCTGCAAATTCAATGTAAACCTTGGATTCCCTATTGTGGCCCCGCCCTACCCCTGGGGGTCATGATTTGAACAATTTAGAATCTACACTACCCCAGTATGCTTCCACATAAGTTTCAGCCTTTCTGGCCCAGTGGTTCTTGAGAAGAAGATTTTTTAATGACCCCACCCAAGTTTTGTCTTTTCTTGATTATCTCCCCTTTGAAGGGGACGTGGCCCTTCATTTTAACAATTTAAACTCCCCTTCACCCGAGGATGCTTTGTACCAAGTTTGGTTAAAATTGGCCCAGTGGTTCTTGAGAAGTTGAAAATGTGAAAAGTTTACAGACGGATGGAGAGACGGACGGACGGACGGACAACGGGTGATCAGAAAAGCTTACTTGATCTTTCATATCAGTGAGCTAAAATATTGAATGTTTGTTTGTTTATTGTTGTTTAACGTCCCTCTCGAGAATTTTTCACTCATATAGAGACGCCACCACTTGCTGGTGGAGAGCTGCAAATTTTGACCTATATTCGGCACTCAGGGCCATTGAGCAGTGAGGGATATTTTTGGAGCCAGCACCTACTGCGACATGGGACCTCGGTTTATACGGTCTCATCCGAAGGACCAGTCTCAATGTCCCACAGTGTGATTTGAACCCGTGACGTAAGGATCAACTCCTTACTCCATGACTCTAGAGCAAATGCTCTAACCACTTCGTATGCGGGCGACAAAAATTGAATGAAATGATGATATTAAAGTACCTGTAGCTTTTGTTCAGTATCATCAGAAGAAACAGACCTTCAGAACTTTGAAATATTTCATTAAATGACAAAAACCAATGACATTCCATATGTACACCAAAACATCATTTTTTTTTATCAATTGATGTCACAAATGCATGTTTAGAAATATCAAAACGTGATTTCTTGAGTTTGAAAGACAGAAAGTGCAGTTTATAAAATTCACTTTCAGTGGTGACTGAAAGTGCTCAGGACAAAAAAAACAAGAGGCCCAGGGGCCACATCGCTCACCTGAGCACTGTGGCTAGGAAAAGAGGAAAAATCTGTTTAGTATTGAAAAGCTTAAATGCATAAGTAGTCTCAACCTACCCCTAAAAGGGAGTGGGGGGGGGGGTATAATTTGAACAAAATTAAATCTACACTAACTAAGGATGCTTACATGATTTTTTGACAAACTGTGACTTTTTTCTCTACAAGTTTGAACTTTCATTGTGGCCCCACCCTACCCCTGGAGGTCATGATTTGAACAAAATTGAACCCACATCACCTGAGGATATTTCCATATAAATATGACCAATCATAGCTTTGCTGTTCTTGAGAAGAAGATTTTTCCTATATATTGCTACGTAAAACTTTGATTGTCCATTGTGGCCCCACCCTACCCCTGGGGGTCATGATTTGAAAAAACTTGAATCTACACCACCTGAGGATGCTTCCAAATAAATATGACCAATCATAAGTTTGCTGTTCTTGAGAAGAAGATTTTTGAAGATTTTTCCTACAGACTCCTTTGTAAAGATTTTTCCTATATACTCCTATGTTAATTAAAACTTTAATCTTCCATTGTGGCCACACCCTACCCCCAGGGGTCATGATTTGAACGAACTTGAACCCACATCACCTGAGGATGCTTCCATATAAATATGACCAATCACAGCTTTGCTGTTCTTGAGAAGAAGATTTTTGAAGATTTTTCCAATATACACATATGTTAAACTTTGATGGTCCATTTAGACCCCACCCTACCCCTGGGAGTCATGATTTGAACAATTTTGAATCTACACCACCTGAGGATGCTTCCAAATAAATATTACCAATCATTGCTTTGCTGTTCTTGAGAAGAAGATTTTTGAAGATTTTTCCTATATACACCTATGTTAAACTTTGATCGTCCAGTTAGACCCCACCCTACCCCTGGGAGTCATGATTTGAACAATTTTGAATCTACACCACCTGAGGATGCTTCCCTATAAATATTACCAATCATTGCTTTGCTGTTCTTGAGAAAAAGATTTTTGAAGATTTTTCCCATATATTCCTACATAAAACTTCGATCGTCCATTGTGGCCCCATCCTACCCCTTGGTTGTCATGATTTGTACAAACTTGAATCTACACCACCTGAGGATGCTTCCATATAAATATGACCAATCATAGCTTTGCTGTTCTTGAGAAAAAGATTTTTCCTATAAATTGCTATGTAAAACTTTGATCATCCATTGTGGCCCCACCCTACCCTCGGGGGTCATGATTTGAACAAACTTGAGTCTACACTAAATGACAATAATTCCACATGAGTTTCATCTTTCCTGGCCCATTGGTTCTTGAGAAGAAGATTTTTCAATAATACCATTAATTTTTTGCTATTTCATAATTATCTCCCCTTGTAGGGGGGCATGGCCCTTCATTTGAACAAACTTGAATCAGTTATACCCAAGGATACTTTGTGCCAAGTTTGATTAAAATTGGCCCAGTAGTTCTCAGGGATCGACATTAACGGTTGTCCGATTGCCCGGGACAAGTAAATTCTCAGTTCGGGCAAGTGAATCTTGCGACGTACTTGTCCGATTGGGCAAGTGATTTTTTCCTCATAGAAATGTACATATTTATTTCATATACATTAATTTATATAAAAAAACAATAAACTGAAGACTTGATTTCCGCCAGGCACCTGACTGACATTGTTTTTGTATTCGGAATTCCTTTTCAGCATTTCTGGATTATACCTTTCATTTGAAAATCGGATTCGTTATTCCGTTCTTTTTCCCTGGTAAATATGCTGTTCGTCTAACATTTTTGTTAACTTCTTATTTGGAAATTAGATTATTTATTCACTTACAGAATATAAGTAAAGTGTAACACGATGTATCCTGATCAAGGTAAAGATCGATGTGTGTTATGTAGCAACTATCTTCCTTCAGCGTTGTTTCACAGTTATCTCAGAAAATTACGATTCACAAAAGAATCCTACCGAAAATAATTTTTTAAAAATATGAATTTAAATAAACGGAGGGTTATTGCTTCATGGCAGTGTGTGTTAACAGGTTAAATTTACAGGGACAGTGGTATACATTTATGTACAAACGCAGCATCAAAATTTTTTCAGGTACCTCACCTTGCCAAATTGACGGTAGTGTATTTGGTCACATTTTTTCTTGTCATAATATTTACAGAAATAAAATTTTTTTTTCTGAAGTTCTTTCCTTATTTTGGGCAACCAAATTTTGTGTTCGGACAAGTCAAAGTTTGAGATCACTTGCCCGAAGGGCAAGTAAATCTGAAAGTTAATGTCTATCCCTGGTTCTGGAGAAGATGAAA